AGAGGGCTGAGCCCCAGCCAAGGCATCCTTGGGTCTGCATCCCTGGACTGTACACCTGGACTGCCCAGGAGCAAGACAGTTGTTGGTTCTCCCCTGCCAGGAGTGCCACTGCTGCTTCTTTTGTAGCAGTAGATTTTCTGAGCAAACCACAAGGCTACGATGTCCCCATGTCACACACGTCCCCTCCCCACCTCTTGTGTCTTAGCATCCATTTGGCCTATCCTTTAGCTTGGTGGTTGTGAAATGAATCCATCTGTTCTAAGATGTTCTCAGGAGTTCTTGTTTGTATTAAGCTCACCCCTAGGCTTAGCAGAAATCACAGTCCCCATTCTCCCTCCCCCCCTCCCCGTGGACAAGCCCTCTCCTTCACGAGCACTTCCACCCTCTCCCCGAAGGGCGGCAGAGGGCAGCTGGTGGTTTTGATTCAGGGCACATTGGCAGCTTGGGGGCAGCCGAAGGAGCTGGGATCGGCTGGCATTCGTGGCATGGGTCTGGAGGCCAGGCGGTCCCACGGGCTGCATTGCTAGCCAATGTTTTCTAAGTCTGTTTGTAAGAGTACCTAATTTTAAAATGAAATGTGAATATATATTATGTGTAGGTGCCATGTAAGATAGTGTTGCGCTAGGCAGCAGGATGTTAACCTACTTTTAAAGCTTTTTGGGGGCAGGAAAACGCATTTTTCTCTCACTTCATGCTCACAGATCTAATATTGTAAATAGGTTTTTAAAATATTTATTTCATGGGCTTTCCACAGGTTCTTGTTCTGACTGGTTTGTCGGTTGGTGGGGCTGTATCGCCCAGCGTGCCACAACCAAAGGGCTGGCTATTGCGTGGGGGGATGGGACAGGGTGGGACGGGGTGGGTGGTGGTGGTGTTTGGTTTGGTTTGAAGTCATGTCGAAGTTGAAGCATTAACTCTTTCTCTTCATCTCATTTTGATGATGTCAGACCTGGCCAATGGCTACAGTCCCCAGGGAGGCAGTGAGCTCCTATGGCCGGCCGGGATGGCTCTTCCCAGGGTGAGGGGCACTGCAAGCAATAAGATTTGTAGTAATAATGTCTGTGTCAATGGCAGGGGTTCTGGAGCCTCAGGGCTGCGTGGGAATAACCCTGCTTCGGCAGGGGCTTGGTCCAGCATGGCATGGGGGGGCGTGGGTCTCTTAGCCTGGGGATGCTCAAGGAAGTGTCCACAGGAATGCAGGAGGTGGGGGCTGCTGTGACCCCCAGGGCCCTCCCCCCAGACTGCTGGGGTAAGGTGGGTAGTTGCTGATGGCAAACTCCCACTAGTGAATTACTGCAGTGAGCAGCTGCTTTGGGGCTCCTGAGCGTCCTGTGGGTACGGGTGACCCACGGGAGTGCACCGCTGGTGCCGTTACAACCGCAGCGCCAGCTCCAGAAGGTCATTTGTTCATTTGCTTGTCATGCTGCAATTTATTTCTCCTTCTAGGAGGCTCGAGGTCATTTGGCCATTTTTTCTTAAGTGGGTTTGGATTTTTCTCTTATTTTTATTGTTAACACCTTTTTTGCCTGAAGTGTGGTTGGCAGTGTCCCTCCAGCCCAGCTGTCTGTGCAGGGCAGTGTCAGTAGGATCAGGGCTGCTTTTATGGTGATATGTCTCTGACTTTTGGAGGATGGAGTGAGGAATGCTGCTGGGTCCCAGCCCTGCAGGACCCCTTACCAGCCCCACACTTCATTCACTCCTGGAACAGATGTGTAAAAAAAATTTTAAAAGAGAAAAAGGAAACAACAACGCAGTAATTTTTTTTCTCAAGATTCTCAGCATTTAAATATTATCTCCACCCTGATGGCAAAAGTTTTTCCTTCATCTGTGTCTGCTTCCCTGGGAGAGTTTTGTTTCTCTGTTTATTTCTATATGAATTTTAGACACTGAGCTGAAATTCCTTCTGTCCGGTACTGTATGTTTGAGCCTAAGCAATGTGAACTGTACAGACCAGCGGTGGGAAGTGGGAGCCAGTGACTGCACCTGGGAGAGCCGTGGCTTGGGACGGCATTCCCAGTTGCTGTGGGGAGCAGGAAGTACTGCGTCGCGAGTTGGGAAAATGAACTGTCTGCTGTGAATTCTCAGTTGGAAATGTGGAGAGGAGTTTCCATTAGATAATGTTTACATACCTCACCTGACGAACCTTTGAAAGTGTATATATTAAAAAAAAAAGAAAATAAAATTATATTAAGTTGCTTTAAATCAATATGTATAGCTATAAGAGCTGGGTCATTTGAACTTTGAATATGTATTGACTCTCTAAATGTTGACATTTTGTGAACTCTGTGCTCCTGTCTTTTATTTCATCCTAATCTATGGAAAAAGTTGTGTTCTTGTTCCAGGTAAAAGATCCTTGACTCAGATCTGAACTCCTCAAGGATTCCCACCACCCTGTTTTCTTCCTCACTGTCGATATTCACCCTATGAGCTTTCTAAAGGTCCGTATTTTATTGCAGCTTATTAAACGTTTCTTTGATATCAGTGTTTGTTTGGTGTGATAAGTGGGGAACGGTGAAGGTGAGTGAGTGCACGAGGACGGGGGCAGCAGGCTGGCACTCTCTGGGTGTGACCACCCCTCTCTGGAGGGGAGGTACAAATGCCCATGTGGCATTCCAGTGCTCCCACACCATTGCATGAGCTGTGGCAGATTCACCTTTCTAGCACCAACAGCATATCCCCTCGCTGCTCATGGGGGTCTGCTGCCCAGCCCCCCTCTCCCCTTCCACAGAGAGCTACACATGCCCAGTATTCCCTGTAGCCATTCCATGCCCACAGCAGGCACTGGCCCTTCAGCTTGTCATGCTGCCTCATACAAGACCCAGGCAGTGACAGCTCCTTTTGCAAGTGTTGCATGGATAACCCTGGCTGCATGTCCCTGCACCATGTGGGCAACACTGGCCAGAAGCAGTGGTCAGGGCTGCTCCAGGAGCAAATCATCCCCTGTGGCATGACCAACTCTATCCAGCCTGTGACACCTCCTTGCACACCCAGCAGCTCCCCAGTACCAGCTGCCCCCTCTCCCCTCCAGGAAAGAAGAGGCCAAGCCTCTGAATGAATAAATGTCATGTTCACATGGAAGACAACATAAGACAATACCAAACATCTCCTAAAACAATACAGCCTCTGCCAGCGGAAGGATGCCCAGCGCCTCCCTCGCCAACCTAGTACAAACCAGCATCTTCAATAGTGACACACACAAACCCCATGGGCCAAACAAAGCCACTGTCATTTTCCTGCCCAGTAGCATCTGTAAACAAAAAGAAAACATCATTTGTTGACCCCAAACATATAAAAATACTATAACAAAATGAAATACAAATATATATTAGAATCTGTAAGTATTCTGTATAAAGAGATACTTTAGCGGTTAGCGTACAGCAAGAACAGAAACACAACACAACCAAGCCTCGGCCAGGCCACAGGCAAAATGAGACGCGTCCTGGCTCCTCTGTGGCAGAGGAGCTCCCATGGAGAGGGCATTTGTGGCAGAAACACATCCCCATGATGGTGGGAAAGTCCAGTGGTGAGCAGGGATGGTGGCAGCACCCACAGAGCCAGGTATATCCAGTGGAGACACCTGGAACCCAGCCGCAGCTGGCAGTGTGAACCTGAAGCCAAGGTGCTGGGACAGTGTGATGGGGAGACCCAGGGCTGCAGCCCTGAGATGAGTCTGTTCACCAGGGTGACATGGTGTTTCATTGTCCAGCCATGTGCAGTGTCCCATTTCAAGCCCCCACCATCCTTGGCCCCCTCAGACATAGAAGTGATGCTGCTGTGGATGTTGGGGGTGTGCAGTGCCCCAGCATGAGATCTCCATGCGCCCCTGCTCCCACACCAGCCCAGCACATCCCCTGGCACTGTGGGCTTTGGAGAGGTGTTGCCCGGACACAGGCACTTGAGTCCAAGGGCTGGTGGGTCCTGCCCTGGCAGCAGTGTTGGCTCCAAGCTTGGACATCTTCAGCCTCTTCAGCTGGCCCTGGCACCCACAGGGCTGAGGCCTTTATGGTGAGCATGGCAAGCCCGCAGCACAGCTGGCCCAGTAGCCTGCTGCTTGTGCTGATTGGGTCAGCGGGACATGGAGCACATTTGCCCAGCTGCAGACCCACTCCCCCAGGGCAAAGCCTGGAAGAAAGGTGTTCCTGTGCTGCCTCACATGGCTCCTTCCTCTGAGCAGAGCCACCTGGCTGGACATGGGGTATTTGGGGTCCTCTCCACATTAATGGCACAGTGCTGGCCCCTGTGTCACAGGGTGCATTGGCACTGAGATTCCCCAGGGACATCTGTGCACTGATGCCTGTTCCCACTCACTCTGCCTGGCACTGCCCTGGCCCTGCTCCACCAGCATGGCCCTGACATGACCACAAAGGGCTGGAGCCATGTGTGCCCTGTGCACTGCAGAGTCCAGATGACATGCACAGACTGGGGGTGCCACCAGAGGGTCAGGTTGTGGCCATGGACCTGGTTAACATTATTTGGGGCACTCTGGGCTCCAGCAACTTGGTCACCACACCAGGGTACTGCTCACTGCAGCTGCCATCAGGGTGAGAACAGGTCCTCAACAGGGAAACCAGGGTTGCTAGAGGAGAAGATGAGGAACCATGCTCTGGGCTCACTGGGACTGCAAGATGCTGGCAACACCACACAGCCCTCTGCAAGCCATGGCTTGCCATGGCTCACAGGGGCCTGCCATGTCAAGAAACTCCTCCAGTCCCAGGTGTTGGGAAAGCCCTAAAAGCCCCAGGTGGACTGGACACAAGGGACAGGGCGGCCAGGGAGGGGACACACAGGGGATGCAGGCACTGCCCTCCATGGCTGAGGGGCTGTGCTGGGGGGAAGGCAGAGTGCTGCAGGGAGAGGATGGGGGCAGCTGGGCAGGGCGCCCACCCCGTATCCACACATCTGTGTAGCTGCAGTTCTTAAAAAAATTCTCTATCTACACGTTTGCTTTGTTTGTGGTTTTTTTTCTTTTTTTTTTTTTTGTCCTTTTTCTTTCCCAACCTTCTAGATGTACCAGGTGTACCCTCTGCCGGGCTCCTCCAATGCAGCTGCAGTTCAGGAACACCCAGAGAGCAGCACCGTGCCCGCAGGGCAAAGGCAGGTCCTTGGCTCTGGGAGGTCTCCCTGCTGGCCACCTGGCTCTGCAGGGCTGGTGGCCGCTCACAGGCACTGGCTGCAGCCACACTTGCTGGGTTTCTCCACCTCCTCCACGAAGGTTGCACCATTACTGCACTCAAAGGCATATTTCCTGCGTCGGAGCCGCAGCCCAGTACAGCAACCAGCATCAGGGCTACTGCAGGTCCCCCGGCACTCCACCCAGGCCACTGGCCGCGTTGTCTGGCAGATGGCATAGCCCCGCTGCACCTGGTGGAAGTCCCTCACTGGCTCCCCGTGGCACTCTGGCTCTGTGGGACAGTGGGACAGCAATGCTCAGCCTGGTGTCACGGCATGGAACTGCCTTCCCTGGACGCCCACCTCCTCAGTGCCTACCTTGGTCACAGAGGGCTCCAGTGTAGCCATCGTGGCACTCACAGGTGGGATGGCCACCCGGGGTGAGGTGGCAGTGGCCATGGATGCAGGGCTGGTGGCGGCAGGGATCAGGTGGCTCGAGAGGCTGGTTACAGAGGGCACCCTGGTAGCCCTCGTGGCATTGGCAGCTGTAGGAGAGGGCGTCGAGGGGCAGGCACAGCCCATGCACACACCTGTGGGCACCCAGTGCTGTCAGGCACCTGCTGGCATGGCATAGCATGGCACCAGCATGCACAGCCCACCCACACCAAGCATGGCATGGCTCAGCATCAGCACCAGCACAGTATTGCACTGGGACTGTCATGGCACTGCCACAGCATGGCACTGGTATAGTACAGCCATTGTGGCACAGCACTGTTGTGGGTCTGGCATGATACCACCAGCACAGAAGAGCTGGCACAACTCAGTGCGAGTGGCATGGCACAGCACCTCCACAGCATGGCACCACCACTATGAACCGGCCACAGGGGACGGGAGTGGACAGCCAATGGGAGGGGTGGTTAGGGCAGCCAATGAGGAAAGGGCAGCCAATGAGCCAATGGAGTGGAGCAGTTGTGGTGAGGCAGCCAATGAGGAAAGGGAATGGTTCAGTTATAGCGGGGTAGCCAATGAACTGGAGTAGCCAAAGACCCAATGGGGCAGGTGGATCTCTGTGGGGCAGTCAGTGGGTCAGGACCATTGCTTCAGGACAGCCAATGGGGCAGATGGGTCAATGTGGGGCAGTCAATGGAGCGAGGGCACTCACTTGTGCCCCTGGCAGGGGCCACCACGGGGCTGGTCGCAGTGGGGCCCATCCCAACCCGGCTCACAGTGGCAGACGGGGCCTTGGGCGCCAGCAGGCTGGCAGATGCCGTGCAGGCAGTAGAGCTTGCGGCAGGGCTCGCAGCCTGGCACAACCCCTGGTGTCATCCGCGTCTTGGTGAAGTCCTGCAGCTCGTTGTTGATGTAGAGGTTGCGAATGCACCCGTGGAAACTGGTACCATTGAGGAGCTGCCAGAGGCGGAAGGCAGCCGAGTTGACATCCACAGTGGGGAGAGCAGGACCGTCAGCACACCTGGATGCCCCCCCATGCCCTCCATCACTTCCCTGGTCCCTGTCCTACCTCCCACGTAGAGAGGGGCCTCACTGTTCAGTGTGTAGTGCTTGCCCGAGTTATCCATGGTCATGGGGCTGCCGCCATCAATGGAGAGGTTCACCATCTGGTCAAAGGTCACCAGCTCCACAGTGTGGAACTGCCCGTCATTGATGGTCTCAGCACTGGTGGGGATGACTGGGTCACCAGGGATGCCCTCAAGCCCATGCAGCGGGGCTGGTGGGGACAGTGGGTGGGGAAGGGTGGCAGGTACCTGTAGATGGCTGAGCTGGGGTGGGTGCCAGGGTCATAGCTGACCCTGACATGGCCCTGGTACAGCTCCACAGCCATGTGGTCGCTGTCACCGTTGTACAGCAGGATGCCATTGCCTTCAGCTGTGGAGACCTGTTAGAGGGAGAGGTGGGAGCCCATATCCCTGGGGCAGCATCCCCAGTGCACCACCCCCAATACCCCCATATCCCCCCAGCCCTCACCTGAAGGGTGATATTGGCGCGGGGCCAGTCCTGCAGGTCGGTGAACTGCAGGTATGTGTCACGGTCCACGAAGTTGACGCTCAACAGCTTCTCACACTTGGGGCCACCAAAGCCGGGTAGGCACTGGCAAAGGGCACGGGCACCCCGCTCCACACATGGGGCCCCATTCTGGCACTCAGCTCGCTCGCAGAGGCCAGACTGGCCAGCAGCATGGGGCGGCATCTCACAGAGCTGGCCACTGTGGGACCAAGGGGGCTGCTGGGCAGGGGGCTGGGAAAGTGCTCTCCACCCTGTCCACTGCTCCACAGGGCTCTGACAGCACTCCCTGATTTGGGAACCCCAGGGAGGCTCTTTAGATACTGGCACCAGAGGGATGCCTGGATGCTGAGCTGTGCGCTGGGCTCCCCCCAGCCTCCATCCCCAGAGAAACACACTCCCAGCCTCACTGTTTCCTCTCACACTGAGGGGGATGGATGGATGGATGGATGGATGGATGGATGGATGGATGGGTGACACGTAACCATCCCCACTATCCCTGGTGCCCCCTGTCTTCCTGGTGTTACCTGTAGCCCTCGGTGCAGAGGCAGGAGTAGCCGTTCACCTCATCCTGGCAGCGGGCATTGTTCTGACACCGGTGGTCCTGGCAGTCGTCGAAGTCCTCACTGCAGTTGCTCCCCACATAGCCGGGTGCACACTCACACCTGTGGCAAGCAGAGGGCCCAGTGCTGCCCCTTTCTTTCCTGCTGTGCTGGTGGGCACCTGCTCCTCCTGGCATGCCCCTCCTCATGCCCCCTTGCCAGCATGTGAGCTGCAGCCCCCACAAAAGCAAATCTACTCACCTGCAGGCAGCCAGAAAAAGTGGTTTGGGGAGGGGGGGCTCACCTGGGCCCCTGACTGGTGGAGATGCAGGTGGAGTCATGCTGGCATGGGTTGAGCTCGGCTGAGCAGAAATCGCGTGGTTGCTCACAGAAATCCCCTGCAAGGCAGAAGAGGAGAAGCCCAGCAGCTCCAGGACCAGAGGGGCAGTCCCAGACCGCCATGGGGCAGGGGGAACCCCTGGGGGGCTCGTCTCAAGGCAGGGAGCTTCCAAGCCCACAGCCTGCACCCCCGTGCTTGCAGGGCTCTGCTCCACTGGAGGCAGCTCTTGCCTAAGGGAGGCACTGAGGGCATCCCAGGGTGCAGGTATTCACCTGGGTGTACCCAAACTCAAGGCAGCTGAGCCCAGAGGCCATGGTGATGGGCACTGGGACAGCAGACAGAGGAGCTATTAGCCCTCATGGGTGGGAGGCAGAAGCACTGGGTACATTCCCCTGCCAGGTCTGCACAGTTTGGGGATGGCCAGCCCCCATTCTGGGTACCTGTGTAGCTGGCAGGACACAGGCAGGTGTAGTTGGTGGCACTGGGCACACAGGAACCCCCGTTTTCACAGCTGTGCTCCTTGCAAGGGTCGCTGGTGGCACGACAGCTTGGGCCCTCAAAACCTGCTGGACACAGGCACCTGCCACAGGGCAGGGGCAGCATCAAGGAGGAAAAGAAAATGGAGCATTTTGGGATGGTTCACCCAAAATGACCAGCACAGGACACTGGCTCAGAGCACACATGCACACTGAGAGCTAGGTTTGGTGCTCCTTGTCGAACACCAGGCGCAGGCATGGGTGGCAGTGCAACCTGCCCAAGGATGCTGAGTTGCCACACAACAGGCCGAGAGGCCACTCAACACAGGGGGCCGTGCAGCTCACCTCCTCGGCCCCAGCCTGCCATCTGCCTTCAGCTGCTAATTGCACCCCATTTCCCAGAATGGCCTGAAGCATTCAGGGCAGTGAGGGTTGGGTGGGGGCATGGCAGCCTCACAGGGAGCAGTGGTGACCCCAGGACCCCAGCAGCCGGACCCCATACCCAAATACCACTGCCCTTTACCTCCCATGCAGTGATGGGACCTCATCATGGCCCCAGCCCAGGAGCCTGCAGGGCTGGGGGACATGGGGAAGTGGAACCAGGCAGCATGGGCCGGAACTACCATATGAATGAAATATCCCAGCTATATGCCCAAGGGAGCATGCAGGAGGGGCAGAAGTATTGGAACAACTCTCTGTGGGATGCCAGCGCTTCATGCTACTGCCCAAACACCCACCTTTCATGGATTCCTGTCTAGCACTCACCTGAACCCAACTCCTTCTCCCTCCTGAAGCTGGCAGGTCCCCCCATGGGCACAGGGGGTTTAGGGGGCCAGCCGCTGAGTGCCACCTCACAGTCCCTGCCCTGGGGAAGGATGGAGAGGTGGGAGCGAGGAGGGTTCCACAGCACCTTGCCCAACTCTCCCCCATGCCACTCAAGAGGGACACTGTGGTGCACAGGGAGGGTAAATGGTCCTGCAGGTAGTGAGCCCCAGGGGCATGGCAATGCTCCCACTCTGCCCCCTTGCCCCCTGCAGTACATGTCCCCATGCGCTGGGAATCCCTGGGACCATGGTACCTTATAGCCACTGGGACAGGTGCAGCGGTAGAAGCCAAGGGGGTCATTGTGGCAGGTGCCCTGGTTCTGGCAGGGGCTGGAGAGGCAGGGGTTGCACTTGGCCTGGACGCTCAGGGCCGGTGGGCCTGTGGGATGGGAGGCACAGAGATGACCATAAGTGCAGGGAGTGGTGGGGATGTGTCCTTTTGTGGGTACTGACTTGGGGGCAGAGCCAGCCCTGCTGATGGGCTGTGCACTAGGCAATGGGCACCCACAACTTTGTTCAATCACCAGGGACATGCCAACAACCAGATAAGAGGATAGAAGCATCCTCGTCTCCCTCCTCCACAAAACAGCTCAACAGATGAAATCGTGGAGCCACTGACTCACAGAGCATTGCTCTGCTGGGCATGGGGCCTGGCTCTCCATGATGCCCACTGCCCTGCCAGAGGGCACCTCTTACCTTGGCACTCAAACTTCTTGGCAGGGGTGGTGAGCAGCAGCTTGCCTTCCATGTCAGGGGGCCCAGCACAGCGGGCGATGCCTGGCTCCTTGTACCCCGTCTTGACCCAACTGGAGAGCCAGCGCAGGTTGCAGCTGCAGTACAGGGGGTTGGCCCCAATGGCTCTGGAGATGGAGAAGGGCAAAGCTGCATCCACTGCCCCACAGAGGGAACTGGGCTCGATGACCTTGGGACTGGGCACAACTCCATCACTTGGCTGGGCTGCCAGTGTTCCTCCAGTTCTGAACCTACCAGAGGTGCTGCCCATGCTGGATGATTGGGGCACACAGCCCCACAGTGTTGACCAGTTAGGCCACCCTGCTACCAGCCCCACAGCCTATGCATTGCCCCATGTTCTGCCCTGGGGCTCTCCTCCACTGGCCACAGGGAAATCATTGGCAGTCTCTCTTCAGCACATGGCCAAAGCTGCCTGGGGCCAGCACAAACCAGGCAAAGCACCTTGAGGCTGTGCAGGGACTACACCACCTGCATGGGAGCTGCAGGGCCAGCCTGGGCTCCATTGCACAAGTATGCAGGACAGGAGTGGGCTGATGGGAACAAGCAGTGGGTCATGGCCAGAGCTCATGCAGACAGCATTAGGGGAGAGCAAAGAATTGCTCTGGGACAGGAGGAGGAGAAGGGAGGGTTGACAACACAGAAGGGCAGGGAAGCAGTGGATGATGTGGGAAGCTGAGAGGTGGGATGCCTCTTTGCATCCTCGTTGACTGCAAAGGTCAGTGATGATGGAGGACTGGTGTAACCAACACCTGTGATGAAGGAAGGAGATGGCAGCCCAGAAGGCAAACAGTAGGGACAGCAGATCCGCTGGGGCTACAGCACCCACAGCGCCAGCTGGTGACACAACTCAGCCTGTGGGAGCTGGCAGTGCTGGCTGGCAGTGCCAAAGGCAGCACAGGATTTGGCAAGGGAAATCAGAGCAAATCGAGTAGTGCTGCTCCCAAAAAACATAGGGAGGTCAGGACTGGAAATCAAGATGCTCTTTGCAGAATGAAGAACAGCCTGAGATCCTCCAGGATGCCATGAGCAGGACTGGCTACTGGCAGGCAGTTGGGAGCAGCTTAACAGAGACAGGGAGGGGACCAAAAAGACACCATGTGCAAAACTGAACCTCTGCCCCAGGGGTTCATGATGGTGGATATGGGGCAGTGCTCTTGGGGTACTGCCTTCCTCAAAGAGTGGCTAAAACACCACCACTGGCAGGAAGATGCTTGATGACAGATTTGGGGGAGCTGTTGCAGGGAAGTGCACTGGCAGAAAGCTAATGACACACTGAGTGTTGGTCAGAGCAGCTCCCACCAACCCACAGCAGTGCCAACACTTTGCATGGCTTGACTTGCATGCTGGGGAACTAGCAGGTTGGGGAAGGACCCCACACCACATCCATCTAGGACCATAAGGACACCCTAGCAGCACTGGGAGGCTCAGCTCCACACCTGCACCTGAGCCTGAGCATGGGGAGGGCAGCAAGTCTCCCCACTACCCCACAAATACTGTCACGAGTACCAGTCCAGAGAAGGGAGGAGGCAGCTCAGCCCCCAGAGAAGCCAGGCTCAGCCTTGTGTTTTTTAAGGTCTTCTGAGCCTGCTTCCAGCCCCATGCCCTGTGGAGTGGGAGATACTTACAGGTGGGAAAGGGAGGTAACATCCGCAAAGATGCCCTCGGGGAGGCTGGAGATGTCATTCCCATGGAGAGACCTGAAGAGAACACAAGGTCTTCAGGCTCCAGGGTGGGCAGCAGGGACTCAGACCACCTGGGCTGCCCCCACCCTACAGGCCCAGGTGTGTGCAGCAGAGCTGGACCACACTCCACTGTCACGGTCCCAAATGAGGCAGATGAGCCCTCCTGTGCTCCTCCTGCAGCCTCTGCCTTCCTGCCTGCACCCCACTCCAGAACAGGAGACACAGTGACACAGGTGGCAGCAGAGAAGGGGTCAAGCAGGGCTATGGGCAGGAACTTACAGCAGTCGGAGGGAGCGGAGGCCCTCGAAGGCTAGTGGAGGGATGCACTGCAGGGAGTTGTAGCTGAGGATCCTGTGGAAGGGAAGCAGGCAAGACAGATGTGTGTGCTGCAAGAAACACACCCTGGGCTACACTCTGCCCCTGCATGAGCTCCAGCTCAAACCTCAGCTTCACCCAGGCAGAAGGGGGAGACCCTGGTGTCTCCAGCAACCCCCAGTCTTTGAGGTCCCCCAGGAACAGTCCCCTGCAGCTTGCCTGAGCTGCAGCCTGGTGTGGCATGCCACAGGGACAATACTTACAGGGTAGTGAGCTGGCTCATGTTGGTGAAGGAGGAGTTGCTCAGGGAGCTGATCTTATTGTTGCTCAGATCACTGGAAAACAGAAACCCCAGGGCTTGGAGCCAGCTGGGCCCTGTCCCCCCTCAGTGCTCCCCCACCTGCTCAGCTGCAATGTGGTGCAAAGAGCAGCACCGCACAGCCGCCTAGGGAGCAACAGGGCTGTCACACAGGGTGATGGCAGCAATGCTACTGTCCCCCTCTGCCTCATGCCCAGCACCAGCACAGGTAGGAAGCACCCAAGGGGCTAAGCATTGCTGTCAGCTAGCTGTGTTCCAGAGCAGAGAGGGAACACAGAGGGATGTTGGGGTCCCTGCACACTGACAGGCCCCTACTCAGGATCACACACCATGGGAACGTCCTCTGTCCTCACCCACAGGTCTCAGCAGTGGGTCAGGACTGCTCAGGCTCCTGCTTCTGGCTACTTACACAAGCTGCAGGTACTTGAAGGTAGAGAGCTGCCCAGGGACCTGAGTGAACTGGTTTCCATCCAGGTAGCTGCAAGGGAGAATAAAAGCACCTTGGGGTGGCTGAGAAGCAGGAGACCCCTCCATCTGGCCCCTCTCTCTCCCCTGTGCACCACCATGGACTTTGGGCTGCAAGAAGCATCTCCAGTATCACCTCCCACTCAGCACACAGGGTCCACAGGGCTCTTGGGATAGCTCTGGGCTGGCAGGGGAGCTAGCATGTGAGCACATTAGCACACCCAGGGGCTTTGCATGTAGGTCCCTGAGGACAGTCTCCCAGCAGCCTACATGTGCAAGTAGAGCCAGCCATGTGCTGCGTTTAAACATCCAATGCGAGTGTGGGAGGCTATAACCGTTACTAAGGCATGTGTGAGCATGTGAGAGAGAGAGCGGGGGATGGCAGAGAGACGAGGGTAGTGCAAGACAGTGGAGAGGTGTGTGGGGGTGATATGCACAACCAGTGTCTGCACACAGGACTTGCTGCTGTCCCCCATTCCAGATGAGTACAGAGCCCCTTTTGCAGCGATGGGCATCACGGATCCTGCACATCCAGATCTGGCATGCTTAGGTATCTCCCTGACACCCATAGTAATGGGTGACTGACCCCAGGCAAACCACATCCCATTGCCCACGTACTCGGGACCGGGGCTGCCAAGGGCATCCCTGCAGCCATAGTGAGAGGGGATGGCAGAGACGGGCCGAGGAGCTGGCAGAGGCAGGATGTTCTGCCACTGATGGCAGGCTGCTGGGGACTGCAGAGCCCTGGGCTGCACAGCTATGCGGGGACTGCAGCTGCAGGGGGTGGCTGTCCCTTGCTGTCCCCTCCCAAGGGCCAAAGAGCAGGGACCCAGATGCTGTGACAGTACCCTTTGCACATCACCCTTGGTAGCCGTGAGTTGGCAGAGAGGTTCTTGCCAAGTCCCTTGATGGTGTCGGGGTTGGACAGGGTCCCTTGGATGGGTGGGGATCCTGTTCCCACTACTGGGCCAGGATAGGGGTGTGGGAAGGAGTATCTCTGCCCTGATACTTGCCAACCCACAGCAGAGGACCCCCACCCAGAGCTGCAAAGTTGATGGCGGTTGGAGGGAGAGCTTGGGCATTCATCCACTACTCACAGCTCTGTGACATTCTTGGGGATCCCCTTGGGTAGGGCCTTGAGGTGCTTGTTGCTGCAGCGGACAACGGTGTCAAGGCAGGTGCACTCCTGCGGGCACTGGGGCCGGGGGATGCAGCTGGTCTCCTCCTTACCTGCACCAGGCAAGAAAGTCACAAAGTTACTGGGCTTCAGCCCTTGGGCATTGTGTGAGGCCAGATTCAATGCCTTGTGCCCGCCTAGGACAGCTCCCCTCCCATGCCGACCATCCATCCCCCCTTGATCTCAAAGCAGGGTGTTGTGGGCAATAGTCTCAGCCAGGCAGAGAGTCAGCAGTGCAGGAATCACTCCTGAGTCCTGAAACCACTTTTCCCACCAGTGTGGATACAACTAGTCAGCTCAAGGCTGCTCTGATTTTCACCATTTTCAAGCAAACATGCTGTTCCAGGGACAGCAGAGAGAAGGGTGCAGAAGGAGTTCAGCCCTGCAGATCCTCCTGAAAATCTCCTTCATCCATCTCCCAGACACAGGCTGGAGGGAGCAGAGCCTGTGCCAAGCAGCCAGAGGAGCTGGCATTGCTCCTCTTCCCAGCCAAGGCGATGAGATGCTGTGGGAGAGGCATCCCTGGGACAACCGTATGCTATCTCGCACCGTTAGGAAAGGCGCAGGATGCAACCCTTCAGTCTTTGACGTGGTGGAGGAGGGAAAGCAGAAGAAAGGATGATTTGTTTGTAAATATTTTCCAGAGGGCTCAAAAGCTGCTCTAAATTTAAAAAAATTTATAAAAAGAGACTTTTCTCCCCACGCACACTCCCTGTCTGCTCCATCTGCCCAGCTCCAGCGCATGCGTGAGGCTGAGAAGGGAAGGAGGAAAGGAGCAGGATGAATCCCAGTGGACTTTGCCTACACATCTGCTCCTGCCAGCACCCAGGGCACAGCATTTGCCAGCACAGACCTGCCTACGTACAAGGGCCACACAGTGCAGTTGGCGCGAACTCCTCTCAGAGTGGTTTCAGAGCCATTCATGAGTATTTGAGTGCAGCTGTGAGGGCTGGGCGGGGAAGGGAAACTTGTGCATCATTAGGGGAGGGTGTTCATGGGCTGAGGGACCTCCTGAGCTACTGGCTTGTCACAGGGCACTGCCAAACATCCCGGGAGCAGAGAAAGTGCTGGGATAGGGAACATTCTGTCATCCTGGGAGGGTCAGCCTGGTCTCCCCTCACCCCCAGCGCTGCAACGCCAGTGAGTTACCTTCCTCACACCTGAAGTCGGGGAAAGCCACGTCCTGGAGCGGGATCTGCCGGAGGAAGTCAGGGTTTTGGCACCGAGGGTTCCCTGTCACAATCTTCCTCTTGCGCAGCCAGTCCCCCAGCCAGGCCAGCTGGCAGTTGCAGTTGAAGGGGTTGGCGAGCAGGTTCCTGCACATGGGAGGGAGCACAAAGGCATCACCTGAACAGCTGCCAGGCAAGAGGACCCCCTGCAGCCCTCCAATGCCATGTGGACAGCCTGAGAGCATCCCCCTCATGACCCAAGACGTACAGTGTGGAGAGAGACTGGAGTGTGTCAAAAGCGCCCGGTGCAATGGTGCTGATCTGGTTGTCGTACAGGGAGAGCAGGCGTACATTGCGCAGTCCTGTGAAGCTGTCATTGTGGATGCAGCTGATGCGGTTGTTCCTCAGCATCCTGTAGAAA